CCGTTCAAGCTGAACTTAGCAATATGTGCATTGATACAAAGTTTCAACTTGATTGGTTAAGGCCTTCTTGAAATGTTTATCTCTCAATATACTCATTTTCTACGAAGAATTCTTGTTTTAGACAGTTTTTGATTACGAATTACTTTGAATAGAAACAAGTTAGAGGATTGCAGCTGTGTTACTACATAATTCCACGTATTATTTAAACAATGTCGGTTTATCACAAAATAATCAGTCAGTGGGTGATATAGAATAGGATGGCCTAAAAGTCACGTAGCAGTCTTTTACTACTGATAACTTTTCATCTCTGCTACATGTTCATTTCAAATTTAGCATTTATATCAAACAACTTTGTATTCAGCGAAGTGTAGACTACCACCAGTTAAAATTCTTGTTTGAAATCTCCACCATCAGGTTAAATGTATTGATAAAGGCGGGATTTCACTGATAAGCAGACTTTCTTCTACCAGTTGGTTGAAGTTTGTTGAAATGCGGTAACAATCTCATTTGCGCAATCTGACTATATGGAGATTGAGCGCTGTCGCGTTGATGCTAAAAGTCGATCAAATCAGGCCGACCAGCAGATGCCGACTGAAAATAATTCCGTGGCGTTTGTACGTAGCTTTCATTAGTGACAAAGGAACTAACAAAAAATGATCGGAACAATACGTGTCCATGAAGTTTGAAAAGTGCTTCATCTGTCCAAATGATCTTATCAAAGAGGCTGCCATTTTCTTCAGTCATCATTACAAGTTTGTCCTAAAACTCAATCCTCAATCGATGTTTTTGCAATGACGAGCATCGATGTCGCACGTCTTGTTGGTGTCGTAGGATCTTTTGGAAAGAGAGATTGAATAGCAGCTTTGTCGTCTGCTGTTCGAACAATACCGCAATCGCCTTAAGTGATCATGGTTTAAAAAAAGAGGAAGACAATGGAATTTTTTTTATTATATACACATCATCAAAGCTAAATAGACTTAATTGTCCATCAGCCTATCTGACTTGGATTACTGAGTAGTTTACCAATCGGACTGTCAAAATTGAATGTGGTAGTGTCAGATCAGCATTAATCAATGTCGAACGCGGAGCTCCTCAAGGAAGTTGCATGGGTTCTGTAATGTATATAATCAGTCATCACGGTCTGCCTCAATGTTTTGATGATCTAACTTATGTCCATGCATATGTGTATGATATTGGAATTGATTATCCCCCATCAATAAACACCTGATCTAGGTGTGGGTGTGGGGTGTGGGTGTAGGTGTGGGTGTGAGTGTGGGTATGAACAAAAGCAAAGCGCACACCCACTCCCACAATCTCACCCACATACACACACACACCACACACACACCCACATCCTCGAAGATGAAACGCTCCAAGACCGAGATTGGCTGTTCCTAAAAGTAACAGCGGTTGAAAGCTAATTTTCAATGAAAATATATATGAATGTGTCGGTCATTAAGGTGTTTTATTGTGTGCTCGAGCAGTGCGGCATAATTTGTCGTTAAGGAAAATGTTTTACATTTTCGGTATTCTACTCTATTCTGATAGTTACGTTACATAGACGTTTACAAAAATATTTTGTTCGTTTAAGCTGCAGAAAATGTTCTAAATCAAAGCTCTCATTGTTCGAAGTCAGAATCATTTCGTAGTCAAACGGCTTTCGGTAGCAAGCTCCTCACATCATTGCAATGTAAATCTTGCTTATGCGTGGTCACTTTTGAATTTTATATCCGATTGGTGCGAAAGAAAATCAATCACAGAAGTAAGTGACTTGTAATCATTTTTGTTACCACTATCCGCCAAAAACGATGAATGCACTTATTGGTTATTTTTATATCGTTTTCATTGCATATTCATATTGTAAGATACAACAAATGACTGTATTCTCATTATATTCAATACACGTTTTCGTTTTTTCTGTAGATAATTCAAAACAACAAACAATTATCAAGCAATCCAATTTCAATCCTTATTTGCTTTCATATTCATATCGTTAGATACAATAAAATACAATTTAATTATTATCTTCAACACGTGTTTTGTTTTTTGTGGATCATTGAACAAAACTAACGATTATCAAAGAATTGGATTACAATCAGCTTTTTCTCATAGTGATATCGTAAGTTACAACAAATGACTATTTACTTATTATATTCAACACGCATTTCGTTTTTACTCTAGATAAATCAACACCACGAACAATTATCAAAGAATCAAATTAAAATCTTTTTTCATTGGCCTATAGATGTCGTAAGATGCAAGAAATGACTGTTTAATCATTGAATTCCAAGGGTGTTTTTGTTTTTTTGTCTACATCATTCAACGGAACAAATAATTATCAAACAATCACATAGAAATTTCGTTTTGTTTTCATATTGACATTTTAGAATGAAATAGATGACTATTTAATTATTAGATCCAGAACGAGTTTTTTCTGTAGATAATTCAAAGTAAGAAGGAACAATCCAACTGTCAAATAAAAATCGTATTTTGTTTTATACGTAGCTCGTAGGCCATTAGAAATGTGTATTGAACTATGAAATCGTGATTATTGTTTTTTATATTTAGGTTGTTCGGAGGAAGAAATGGCTATTAAAGTTTGAAATTGAAAACCGGTTTCTTTATGTTGAGATCATGGGAACGAGAAATAACTACCTAAGTATGTAAACGATATCGTGATCTGTTTTGATCTTTTGATGGTTCAAAACAACAAGTGGTTATGTAAGTACTGAAATGAAATAGTGTTTTGTTTCGATGTCTATCTGATTGGAAAGAGAACAGAGTATGAAACCGTAAAGTCTAAATTCTTCATGTTGTTTAGTTTTGATCGGTGGAAGAAAGAAATAACTGTATACATATGGAATAGAAATCCTGTTCATGTTTTGTGCTGAGATCGTTCGAAACTAAAAGTGACTATCGTAGTATTATTTTGGTATTGCTTTCTGCTTCTTTGTTTTGACAGTTCGAAAGAACTCATTCGCATGTGAGTGTGAAATCAATGTTGCCTTTCATTTTCATTGTGTGATGATTGGACGAAAGTAATGGTTGTGTCTGTGTTTAATTGAAATAGTGTTTTAGTTCTTTTTTTGCTAGCTGGAGAAGAAGAAACATTTGATTTTCGTTATTGTTTATGTTCTGTGTTCGAAGGCATTTGATGAGTGGCGCTTGAAAAAGAGACTGATTTAAAAAAAAATGTTTATGAAGCACAGTGTTTCATTTAGAATGCCCATATCTTGTCAAGGGTACCTTATTTAAGTTATTGTCGATTATTAATTTAATTTTTTTAATGCTGCAATGTTTTGATGAATGCTGGGATTATTGTTCTATGATGCATGAGACTACAGCTACACATGCGTTAGTATCGCATTTCGGTTTTTATAAATTTCATAAGTTGCGCGAACGAAGGTTGTTCTGAATTGTGTGATTTTTTTTCTTTCGATTTATAAAAGAGTTATAACGATACCTGATTAAGGGTGGAATTCGGTTATCCTATTTGGGCATAGTTTTATACAAAGCCGCGCGTTTACAAAACTTAAAATGGTTTAGAGTTGGTTTGAAAAATCGAAAGCGTTTATAGTTTCAAGGAGTACTTTTTTCCAGAGTAGTTGTGTTTAAGTTTTCTTGAGACTTCGAAAGTGTTCTAATCACTGCGTAAAACTTTCGTTATTGGTATTTAAAAGGTTTTGTTGGACTTAGGCTATGATAACAAGTTTGTAGCCGATTCTCTATCGCAATGAAGCTTTTCGAATCAGTAAACAATTTTTAGTTGCACTTAGTTTGTGTTGAATCGTAGCGGTTAATAAAATTGCGAGATGTGAATAAAACACCAAGTTTATGACAGCTAGCTTTTTTAGAGTTCGTAGGGGAACACTTGTCGTTTTATGCGTTCCTCGAAAAGTTGTTATATACGACAATTAATCAGCTATAGGATCGCATGATTAGAAAATCAGTGTTTTCGAGGAATACACATCTTAATTCGACTATTAATAGTATGTGATGAGTAGGGATACTATTCTTAGTGTATACTGTATATAGACTTGTGTATTACGTTTTGATTTTGTTTATTCGACGGTGTCTGATTTAAAGAGAAGATTTGTGCGGGTTTCAGTGTTCAACAGTGTTTGAATTTCTTACGGCATATTCGGTTTAGATTGAACACAATAAAAATGCATTCTCTAGAATTATTGAACATATGGAATTTTCGTTTCGTCGAAGATTTCGAGCTTATTGAGTGAGCCACCTGAAATACTATTTTCATTTGATATTTCACGTCTATATTTTATGTTTATTTTTAGTTGTATCTGACAATATAATTGTTTGTGGCTTGGACTAATAAGAGAAGAGATATTCTGGTCAAGTTAAAGTCCTCAGCAGTAGGCCAACAAATATAAAAGACGAGCTGCCTTTGATCTGTACAAATCATGGCATTCAAATTCGAGATGTTTATTGCATATGCAAGATGCTAACAAAGAAAAATGTCATCAAGTTTCTGCGTATTTTTTTGTATAATTGGACATACCCCATCAGTTTACATAAGAATAAACAATTTTCAACTTAACAAAAGATTCAAGAAAATGACTCATGATACCACAATTTTCCAAAGATACGAAAAAAAAAGACATGAAACTTGGAATTTTGTAGAAAAGGAAACCTTTTCAAATGTAAAATATTGTTACTCATATACAATTCGATGAGCCATACATAAAAATATTAAAAAAAATTAGAAAAACATTCGTTGATATTTTAAATTGAAAGCATCTTACATATACTATGAACACTCTAAAATTCGGATACTTCAGCTTTTTCAAGATGAGAACGGCCCATATATTAAATTTGTCAGTTCGGTAATGGAATCTCCAATTTGAACGTAAAATATCTTCTGTTATCGGTTAACCATGCAAACACTTTCATTGCAAGATTTAAGAAAATATCAGAAAAAGTTGTAAGAATAAAATCACATATCTGAGGTAAGCTATTACCAAAAGAATCACGTATGTTCGTTAGATATTATTATTTTCATGATCACTAATATCAACATATTCATCATCGAGTTGAGATTCATCTTCATCATTCTTTTCTCCAATGAATAGTGTTTCGAATATACAATAACTTTGATACGATCTTTGGTCTTGAATTATATGTTCAAGAATTGTACCGATAATAAGACATTGTTGAGATGAATCTTGATTTAATTTGTCACAAGTTTTCAAATGAAAAAGTAAAATTGTAAGAAGTGTCGATGTTGGGTAGGAAAAACTTCTTAAAGCAAGCTTGAAATTGGTTAAATAAGGAAATGTTTGTTCTGCTATGCTCGTATTAATTCCCATGGGATTCAACTTTGTTTTGTTCAGAATCAGGATTGAACAGTGTCTTACATAGTTGTCCCATATGTACGGTATTATGAAATCGAGCCGTGACTAATTTCATCTCCATTAGTCGTTGCGTATACTGGTTTTTTTTCATGTGTTCCGTATTGAAGCGATAATTCCAAAATTTCTGTAACTGAAATGCGGCATCATATACGAGTAATGATGGTAGTTTCGCACCAAGTTTCATCATCATCAATAAGTGATTAGTGATCTTTCTAGGTCCTTCATGATTTACCGAATCTGAAAATTCAATAATGATTCCACAATTAAGAAATGTGGCCATAAATTCCATCGACCGTTTTTTCACTTCGAAACGTTCTTCCATATCATTCCACTCCACATTACACTGGAAATCATCACGATCAAGTTCTTTAAGATATTCCAAATAATTTCCAAGCACTTTATCAGAAGTTTTGCTGGCAAATGGTTGTTCTTCGCTACACCTAATTCTATGGTGATCACAATAATAATTGGTACTGTCTGACAACAAAAATTAAAATAAATATTTTTCATAACTATAAGAACTCCTGTCGAAAACTTTTCGTACAATTTGTTTAGTGGCAAGTGATCCAACTATTTTTTCTATTTCTAGTATTAAACACTCTCATGCTTTCTGAAAAGAACTTTTTCAATCAATAGTTCCATAAAAGAAGCATACCATTGGATTCGGGTTTGTCGAATTTTCTTCGTTTTGGCATATATGGACAGCCCTTGTTTATGGGTCCTAGTTCATCAGCATTAAGGATACTTGTGACATTGTCATACTTGCATACTAAACGATGTCGGAAAGAAAAGAAATTATACATTTATTTTTAATTAAAAAATTTCGTTTCAAACTGTTCCATGTACAACATGATCGAACACGAGCATTTTATTATTTTGTCATGCATACATTAAATTAGATTTGAAAATTCTGTATTTTGCTTATAATCACAATTATTTTGCTTATTGGGTGAAGGAAAATTTTTTTTTATCATATTCAAGGAATGCAGGGTGTGGGTGTGGGTGGGTGTGGGTGTGGGTGTGGGTGTAGGTGTGGGTGTGGGTGTGGGTGTAGGTGTGGGTGTGGGTGGATGTGGGTGTGGGTGTGGGTGTGTGGGGTGTGGGTATGGAACTTCTCTTTATCCCTCGCACCATCACCTCTACCCACCCACACCCATTTCCACCCACACTCGTACACCTAAGCCCACGCCCACCTCCACCCACACTCACACCCTCCGACACCCACACCCACACTCACACACCCACACTCACCACCTTGTACACGTAGAATTAAATTGAATGGTTGATTGATTTCCAATTGTAGACGACGAATGTAAGTACCATTTTTACGATTTAATACTTCAAAATGTGCTTCGTCACTCCACATAACATTATTCCATTCATCTAACCAATGTTTATGTTCTTTAGCAAATTTTAAACGTTGCTTAATTTGAGTAGGTTTTCTTAATGGCTTTCGTTTAACTGTGAAACTTTTATAACCCATACTTATTAAACGACGACACACAATAGATGCACATCATTTTGTACCATTCGATAAAGTCCACTCGGAGGCCACCATTTGACTAGATTTTGTTCGATCTTTCTTCATAATTTGTAATAATTGACAATCATCAGCAGGTGTTGATGCCTTTTTCCTGCCCTGTTCAACTGCATTGGATAAGGATACATTTTGCTTTAAGTGGTTTGAGACGCGAAAAACACATTTTTGTGATACTCCAGACAGCTGGGCAATTTGCCGTTGGCTCAAGCCTGCGTTAAACAATGTTTTGATTTCGATTTTCTTTTTAAAAGTTACTTTGATATGACCCATAGATGTCATTATAATCAATAAGAGAATAAAAACAAAATAATAAGCACCCAACTAATCCAAATAGGTAAAATAGTGGAAGAGTGCTTGTAACTATGTGAGCGATAGCTTTACCTAATCGAGAATTGCAATATACTATAACAATCTCTTTAAGCTTCCAAGTGATTCTATATTTTTCGCAGCTGAAATCGGTATCTTTTTTTTTTATTTTTTTTGTTATGATCATGTAATTTATGAACTTTTACTTAATAAATAGTGAAAGAGGACATTCGATTTTATAAATATACGATAAATTTAAAACGAAAAAGTGATGCTGATTTATAATAAAATTTGAAAGAAGTCTAAAGTGGAAGGTGATTCTATAATATTTCACAACACTGTAATACCTCGCTCAAAAATTGTAATGTGGCGCCATCTTTCGCGTAAGAATCTTTTTTTTTTAATGAAAACGTAGTTTTAAAGAGAACTGTTCATGAATAATTTCTGTGACAAATTTATCTTCTGACCCTATCACTCAGAAATACGTCACTACTAGTGGTGCATTTCACCATTGATTGCTCTTTCTCGCTTGCTTTTTTTTCATCAGACCACGTACTATACATGAAAAAGAACAGTTACATATATAGTATGAGACGAGAGAAATAGGAAAAAGAACAAAAAGAAAATAAGATAATAAAAAGTTTTATCATCTTATTTTCTTTTTTGCTCTTTTTTCTATTTCTCTCGTCTCATACTATATATGTAGCCGTTCTTTTTCATGTATCTTCCTTTTATTTTGACTGATCAATTGAACAGTAACTGACGAAACGTCTCAAGAATAAAATATGATCTATTCCATATTCTATTCTTTATAATTTATTGTTAAACATTTATCTATTTGTTATTTTTGAATTTTAACTCGATTTTCTACTTAGTCGATTGCTGAAAAGTAAGAGATTAGAGCAGCAGATTGATTTGTATGATAGACATAACCCTTTCAATGCTGAATGTCATCTCGTAGATGACATGCAGAACTAAAAAGAAATATTTTGCGTTCTGTCGTCTTCTTGAACGACGTACATCATATGATATGTTTCAAGAAAAAGACGAGAGACTTTAATGATGTTCAAATGGCGGCTATTTATCTTTCATTGCTTCATATTTACCGCTTATTTCATTTCTTTTCTTTATTGAGATTCATGTTAGATGTCGAGTATATTTCTTATGTCAGTCTTTTTTATTTGATTGGAGTAAGATGAAATTTTTGAAAACAATCTGGAAAACATAGGTCTGGTTCTCCATTACAAGTTTTGTACTGATAAATAGTCATTTTTCGAATTTTATTCATATGAGAAAATATGCATATTTTTTGCTTGTGACGATTCGACTGTGGATCGACATCAGTTTTGCCTAAAACAGATCGTAAGTACATAGTAAAACGAAAATCTCTTCTGTAAATAAAGAAATCTCACGTGAAAAGTGTTGAATGGTTCTCGTCGTCACTTTCGGACTTCTATCAATAAAATTTGGAGAAACGGACCGCTTTTGTTTTGTGGTAAAGTCTCTCGCCGATTTTCTCACAATTCCTGTTTCTTTCATTGGCTCGCACACATAGCTCGAAAAAATAAAATATTTTTTTTATCAGTTTAAGTTAGCCCGTACCTCATTAGAAAATCGTCCAACGTAGTATTCGATTTTGTCTCTTTTTACGTGATATAAGAATTGACTAAGAGTCGACTGATAAAGTGTAGACCTAATTTGATAAACCATCGATGCGTTTATCTGTGAATGAATGTGTGATGTAGAGCACTATCAGATATATCAACACCTCCCATATTTTTACTATAATCGATGATACTGTTGCGCTTCAAAATTTGTTTCTTGACACCACCTATAATCAAATTCTCTTGAGTTATTCGAGTGAAAGTGATATGGTATTACCCTTTTCGTATCGTTCCACTGATGAAGATTCAGTGATTCCTTTCGAATTGATCGCAAAAATTTCTTTTTCACCACTCGCTTTCTTATCTTGGAATTTCCGTAGAGGAAGCTCACCGCTTCGCATAAAAGCAGAATCAGGCGCCTTCATTTTTTTCGTTGACAATTCATTTGGAACTCCTGAATTGAAAGCGAAAATATTTTCATCACTATTCGTAACAAATGTGCAATTTTTTTTTCAATTAGAAGACTTTAGCTGTTTTATTCAATAATTGAATATTCAATCTATTTACTGAATGGCATCGTCATCATCATCTTCATCTATTAAATGTTCACTAGACAATATTGAAAAGTCCAAAGAGAATATTTCACCAAAAAAACGGATGAACTTGGCATACACTCCGTTTCGATTAAAAATTATTGATATGTTCAAAGATGTCAATTTGATGGCGCCTACTCAGCTTCTCGGTAAAGAAATTTGCTACTGCGCGAACTGAAAAAGAGCAAAACTCATTTTTTGTGATATGTATGCATATTGCAAAAGATTTTTTCGTTCCATTGCAAGTAACCTGGGATCAATAGGTCTATATGGTTTCATTTAAAAGTTGATTTTATCTCACTTTGCACCAAGATTTATCGTTTTTTGAGAGTACATTTGTGAAGTGTCATTGGGCACGAAGATTCGTGTATTCTGCAATGTGATTGAAAAGAGAATCGGGTAACATCTTTTTGTAAAAGTCCGAGGACACCGAACATGTTGGAAGAGTGAAAGTAGGTCCTGCTGGCTCATTGAAATCAGATAAACATTTAGGTCGACAATCAGTTGCTTCTGCAACGAATGTCCATTGTTCTTCAGACATTTTTCTTCTACATTCTGATTCTGTTGTTGTCATTTTTCACGGATATATATTCTCATCATCACTGTAAAGTAATGTAATTAGAGATTGTGGGACATACGAACTGTTTTATCACTTGTATTCATCGCTTTCTTCTGTTTTTGATTGTATGAACTCTTTTCTATTATCAGTACAATTTGAGTTCGTATTCTTCAATGGTTGTAATATTCGACTCGATTGAAATATTGCATCATCGTCACTACAATTTAGTGTAATTCGTGAATTCTTATGTAAAATATCTTATTTATCACCTATATTCTTCGCTTTCAACATTACCGACTAGTTCCAATCCTTCTTCAATATCATCAACGTTGGAATCGTCAAGAGCTTTTATGAACTTGTCAACTTCATAATCTTGTTCGAGAATGTCTTCCTCGTTGAATGACATTTTGACTACTCAATAGAAAATTATGTGCGTTTTTCTTCTATGAAGTACTTCAGCTTTCTTCGAGAAACTGGCCTTTTTATACTCAATCTATTCATTGCACGTGATTGTTTTTACAACATGAAGTTTTTATTCCCTCAACTGTAGGGATGGTCATATGAGAAAAACTAAAATGCGTTTGTGTGTGTGTCTGTTTGTCACAAGGTCAAAAAAACATCACAGGGGAACTTGATTTAGACGCACTTTCTAAAATTTCAGTACAGGTAATTGAGGTCGGAAAATCCGATTCCGAGGTCAGATTTTAATTCCGGTATTCTCATTGGCTAGAAAGCCGACCAATCAGAAATGAGCTTTTTTATTTTAAGCCTTTTTTTACATTTTGATGAAACTTCACTATAGGTTATCGAGGGCCAGAATTCTAAATCTGAGATCCGATTTTGCATTCGGTCGTCCCATTGGCTAGAAAGTCTACGAATCAGAAATGAACGTTTTTATTTTAAGTATTTTACACATTTTGATGAAACTTTACTATAGGTTATCGGGGATCAGGAGTCTGAATACGAGATCGGATTTTGCACCTGATTTGCCCATTGTCTAGAAAGCGGACCACTCAGAAGTGAGCTTTTTTATTTTAAAACTTTTGTACATTTTGATGAAACTTTACTGTAGGTTATGGATGGCTAGGATTCTGAATCCGAGATCGGATTTTGCATCTGACCGTCCGATTGGCTAGGGAGCCGACCATTCAGAAATGAGCTTTTTTCTTGAGAAAATGACGATATTTTATAAGGTTGATGAAAACAAACCGGGGTCGGGGTATCCGAATCCGTAATCGGTTTGCTAAAATTTTGAGCCGAACTTTTTCGGCCAAGGAAAGACTTTTTTGGGGAAAATAACGATATTTTATAAAGGTTGACGAAAGTAAGCGGGAGCCGAGTTATTGGAATCTGCAATTGGTTTCCTGAAATTTCAAGTTCTTGTTTGTATCCATTCTTTCTATTATTGGGACAGACAGCGGAGGTATTTTTTGCACACGGGTAGCTCTTAGCATGCCTTGAACGATTGGGAAGGCAAGCAGATTAGAAACGCCTCGACAATACTCTTCAAATGTTCAAACGATGGAAGTTATTCGCACCTTGAAGTCCCATATGTTTGGTACGAAAACACTAATATGATTGCAGTAAGAGATGCTGCCCATGTCAAATCTCCGTATCTCAGCAGCTTTTAAAGGTATAACAGAAGCCATCTATGTTCAAAGGAAGGCGACGGTGCGTTTTGCAGCGACAGAGGAGTGTGGTAAAATTTGCTAGATTTGCTTACAATCTTTCAATAGAACTAATTTTGTGAGCAAATTTCTCCCATTTCTTTCATAAGGTTAAATCTATACCCTGTGGAAATCTATTCGCAGATGGGACACGATCTTAAACCTGTATGTGGCAATAAACTGTAATTTATTATTATTATTAGAAAAACCCGAA